AGAACTGAACGGGAGAGGAAACAGTCTCTCATGGAGCCTCCAGAGGGGAGTCTGGCCCTATAGATGCTTCGATTTTAGCCTAGTGAAACTTGTGTTTCACTTCTGGCCTTCAGGGTTATAGATCAGTAAGCTTGCATTGTGTTAAGTTGCCAAGCTTGGAGTAATTTGTTATAGCAGCAATAGGAAACAGATATACACCTAACCCCTGGGTATGTGTCTAACTTTCTCTGTCTCATGGGAACTCTGTTTCCCTGTGATGACTTCATGACATGGGAGTATAGAAGAGAGACCAGGCCACTGAGCTGGGACATGAGAAATCGTCGGGGCGGGGGGCGGAGTGGATGCTCAGGGCTTTGCTAGCCGCACAAGGTGGGAAAAGATGTTCAAAGGCTTTGGTGCAAGGCGAGGCTTCAAATATCTTTAGTGCAAGTGAGGGTCAGAGTTTTAAATTTAATTGCATTTTCTGTTGCCTTTCATTGAAACAGAAAGGGAAATGACTGTTGGCCATATTGGAAAAAGCAGATTATACTCTTGTGTAGATACTGCCTTCCCTTTCCCTTCTGACTGCTTTTTTAAAAAATGAGTACTATCTGCATGTATGTCTGTATGCCAGAAAAGGGCATCAAATTCCATTATAAATGCTTATAACTCACCATGTGGTTGTTGGAAATTGAACTCAGGACCTCTGAAAGAGCAGCCAGTGCTCTTAACCGCTGAGCCATCTCTCCAACCCTCCTGGTTGCTTCTTAATGGCTGGGAATTAGACATAGCAACAAGTCGCCTCGATCATGCCAATAGAACATCACTCTGGGATAGAGGTAAGAAAATTGAAGGAACTTGTATCTAGCAATATAAAGAGCCACTGTCCAGTTCAGCATATGCTCAGACTGTGATGTGGGAGAAATATAAATGCTGTGGTTGTTTAAACAGATGCAGACAAACTTCCTCCTATTCCACCTGGAATGTGATCTGCCCCACAGGCTCCTGTGTTGGAATACGTGGTCCTCAGCTGTTTTGAGATATTATGGAACTGTTGAGACTGTGGCCTAGGTAGAAGAGGATGGGCCTTGACATTGATGTCAGCTTCTGGTCCCCTGCCTCCTGGTCCGTTGAGATGTGACGGATGTGAGCAAACCATACTGCAAGCTGATGCCACCACAGAGTGGTCTCCCTAGCCACTACGAGATGCAGGCAAGTCAGTTGCAAGTCAGTGTCTTCCTAGCCACTCTGCAACCTGTCTTAGCTGGGGTACTGGAGAATTCTGCATCTTGATCCACAGGCAACAGGACGTGAACTGAGGCACTGGGCAGTACCTTGAGCATAGGAGACCTCAAAGCCCACCCTTTAGTGATGTAATTCCTCCAACAAGACCACACCTACTCCAACAAAGTACCTAATAGTACCACTCTTTTGGGGGGCTATTTTCTTTCAACACACTTCTTTCTCTTGGGCTTATTCTACTGTCTGTTAGCTCTCCCCGGCAGGTATAACTCTGGCATCTCCAACATCTTGGGGTCTCCAAGTCAATCCAGACTTCAACTTCACAGCTTCACACAATGACCTCTCTAGGCCTCCATTCAGGGACACCCTTGACACATGCCTGGCCTCAGCAACGTTCCTTATTCATGCAGGCAAATTTCATAGCTCCTTTCTTCTGTCCTTAATTCCAGAACAACATGGCTGAAGCTGCCAAGCTCTGCTGCTTTCTGGGGCTGGAACATGGCCCCCTTGTTCAATTACATCTTCACCAGCTTTCTGTTTTCAATGGTTTCCTTCAATGACTAAGTTTGGCTGTTCTTAAACTTGCTCTGTAGACCAAGTTGTCCTCAAACTCAGAGATCTTTCTGCCTCTGCCTTCCAAGTGCTGAGATTAAAGGCATGCACCACCACACCCAGCTAAGTTTTTCTTTAATTCCCTTTCAAATGTTGAAAATTTAGCTGGGTAGGATCTTGCCCCAAGATTACCACTCTATTTCATTTCTTAATCTGTTTATCTCCTTGAACTCAGGATTTAGCATCTACTCCCTGATGTTCCTTTTCTCCTCAAATTGTTTATTTTCTTGTTCTTTTTCACTATAAATCTGTGTAAGAGTAACCAGTAATAACCTCATGGCAGTCGATAGCAGGCTGTTTTGAGATTTCCTCTGCCAAGAGAATTAATCCAAAACTCTTCACTTTCACCTCAGGCAGACTCTTTGGACAAGGGCAAGAAGCAGCCACTTTTATCACCAAAATATCACAAAGATGATCTTTAGGTAACATACTAAAACTCTTCTCCTCTGAAACCTCTTAAGCCAGCCCCTCACATTTCACACCACTCTTAGCGCCATTGTCTTCCATGCTACTACTGGTATGTCCCATTAAGCTTTCCCTAACCCAAACTCCCAAGGTCTAAATTCGCCCAAACAAAAGCATGGTTCAGGCCATCACAGCAATACTCCCACCCCTGGTACCAACTTCTGCCTTAGTTAGGGTTTCTGTTGCTGTGAAGAGACACCATGACCAAGGCAACTCTTACGATGGAAAAAAATTTAATTGAGGTGGGCACTTACATTTTCAGAGTGTAGTCCATTGTCATCATGGTATGGTGACTCAGATTATGGTGGCATGCAGGCAGACATGGTGTTGGAGAATTCTACATCTTTCCAAAGGCAACAGGAAGTGAACTGAGACTTTGGGTCGTACCTTGAGCACATATAAGATCTCAAAGCCCGCCTCCTAGTGATGCACTCCCTCCAGTAAGACCATACCCACTCCAACAAGGCCACACTCCATAATAGTACCACTGCCTTTGGGAACCATTTTCTTCCAAACCATAACACCTACCTTACCTGGATAGATTGTATTCCCAAAACTGTGCGCCAAAATAAGCCCTTCCTCCCTTAAACTGCTCTCTCAGATACTTTATCATTGAAGTAAGGAAACTAATTAGCATATTGAACACTAAAGTCTCCTAGGATAAGGAAGAATAATAACCATAATATTTATCACATTTTTAAAAATGTTCTCTGGAGCAGACATTATACTAGTCGCATTTAATCTCCGTGCAGTCCACTGGGGTAAAGAGTATTATGCCCACATCCTGCAGATACCATCAGGTTGTATCCACCCAGTAGAAGTAGAATCAGACCTCTCTAAGAGACACACGCATTCTCAGGAATACATGCATAGATTTTATCATTAAAAGTCTGCAAGGTTGTGCAATCAGGTTTAAGATGTAGACCCCCGCGCGACCATTTTTCGAGACAGGGTTTCTCTGTGTAGCCCTGGCTGCCCTGGAACTCACTCTGTAGACCAGGCTGGCCTTGAACTCACAGAGATCCACTTGCCTCTGCCTCCTGAGTGCTGGGATTAAAGTTGTGCACCACCACTGCCCGACTAAGATGCAGATATTTTAGAATACATTTGCTATAGGAATTCTCAGTTGTTTACCCAACAGTTAACTCTGCTTCATTCATAAAAGAACCACTTTTTTTTTTCCAAATAGAAGCAAAGAATCCTTAAACTTTTCAAAGAGTAGGACCCTATTCAGAATTCACGAGAGAAACCCTTGCCAGTCTAAACTAGTCATGGTCATTAATTTCCTTTTGCTATCTACAGGACAGCTGTGCGGTGCAGTTCTGGTCAACGAGAAATAAGCAAAAGTCTAAGGAGAAAGCAAAGAGCTCCAAACCTGCCTGGAATGAAGATGCAATGCTGGTGGTGCAGCGGTCACCATGCAAGTAAGAATGGCAAATGGAAGGTCTAAGCAGAATTCTTGATTTGATTAAGCTGTTTCCATGCCTAACAGCTGACCTCTGTCTAGACTTCTTGTAGTTGGAGAAAAACAAGTTCCGACATACTGAGGGCCGTGAAAACAGGGCTTTGGTTTTTCAATACCTGAGACCCTTCCTAGTGGATGCACACACGTATCCTCGGTTTTCCTTGAGAAAGTCACACAGCCTGCACGATGTGCTGCATACCCAGGGCCAGCTGCTGTCTTTCCCAGTCCTCATGGCTCATCCACACTAAGATTACTCTGGACTTCCTCCAAACACACACCTGGGTTGGGAGTGGGGGTGGGGTGGTCACCTTCACCAGATGACAGAGTTCAAATTCGACACAGTGTTTCTTCCTCCACCACTCAAACTCAAAAGAATTCCTCCCTCAATTACAAATGTCTCCTTGGGGGAGGTCATTTCCTGAACGCCCTTAAATATCCCATTGCCGTCGACTGTTACTAAACTGTAATTTGAAAATAAATATTATAACAAGGGTAAGAATGTCTGCTGTCTCAGAGAAACAAAGGAAAGCTCTAAAGCATAAAAAATCCAAAAGATCAATCACAGGATCACTTGGTTCCGAAATTAGACCTACAATACACAGACAGAAGAAGGGTTTTATCTATACTAAAAGTCGATTCAATCCCTTCTGTGTATAAAGCGATCAATTCTCCAAAAATGTTTGTTTGGTTGCTTTTTGAGACAGTCTGGCTAACTTGCTCTGGGCTGAAAATCTTGCCCCTGTGCCCCCTGCTGGGTTTGGTGGCATGCACCACCACCACCACCACCACACTTGGGCTAATGATCTAAAATTATAAGGATATTTAAAATATTTTAAAGCTGGGTATTTTGGGTTGAAGGAAGAGGTTTTCCCTGACCATGAACTATGCCATGGCCTTCCAATGCTGCTGATCTTTAATCAGGTTTACAACAGAAGGTTCATTTGGGAACTGATCTAGCATTTCATACACAAAAGGAGAAGATTAGCCAGCAAATGAACACATTTTCCTGGGGATTTCACTAAATAAATGAGCTAGACACACTTTTCTTCCAAACACCAAGCTATCCAAAAACATTTCCACATAATCAGAAATGCATGAAACAACAAATTAAGTGATATTCAGGCAATGCCCAGGAGGATTTTTGGTTTGTTTCTTTTTTTCCCCCAGTTTGACTTAAAAAGTTGCAAACAAAACAAAATATAAGTTCGTTGAAGACAACACTGAGCAGAAAACTTACCTTGGAAATGATTAACGGTTCTCCATGCTCCAGGCCACCTTTCAGGGTGAAGCCCCAGGGAGCCCCTCCCTCTAGGAGCGCTTCCAGATAAACGAACCTCTCCTTGGGGGTCCTGCCAGGGTTTGGTGTGGAGCTAGGCTCCTCCAAGTTCTCAGGGGTCCTCATCATGCCCTACACATGATCAAGTCGGCTTCTGTTTAAAGTGCCTGACCCAGATGGAGGCAAGCAGAGCCTAGCGCGGTGTGGCGTGGCTCGCGGCCACCCGGGGATGCGGACCCGAGGCCTCTGTGCTTCTCCGGGTAGACCTGCTGGAATGCAGGGCTCTCGCGGAAGTCCCCAAGTGGGGTCTGCCCACTGCGTTCGCACCGACGTCCTCCAGGGTCACCGCAGACTGCTTTAGCTCGCACACGCGCCAGAGCCTTTTCTGTGTGTGTGTGTGTGCGCGCGCGCGTGTGTGTGTTTCTACCGAGAAAAGTTTTTTTTAAAGTCTTTCACGCAGCGGTGTAGGAAGAAAGCGACAGAACCACAAAAAGTATCTCCTTTTTGATTGATCATCGACCCTTTCTTCCTCCGCGAGCGAAATTTACCATGACAATAGCCTCCGCCCTCTGCTGAAACCGCGTTTAAAGAAAGCGGGCGCTAGTAGTGCTCCTGTTGCCTTCAGAATTTTCGATCGTGTCCCCGGGGGCGGAGAGGCTGTACGAAAACTTTGTACCCATTTTTGTCAAGCATTAAGTTCATCGTTTGTTTCTCGAGTTGGGGGAGGTTTGCAAAAGGGAAGTAGGGGGTTGGGGCGCATAAATTCTTAGTGGAGGGCGGGGGAAGCCATTCCCAAATCTCAGCAAGGCAACGCGCTTCTTTTCTTTGGCATTTTTAGCGAACGTGGTTCCCTCTGCAGCCGCCCGGAGTTAAGAGTGCGGTAGGCAGAGGCCAGCAGCAGCATCGTGACCTTGGGGCTCGCGAGGAGCGCGCTCAGCAGAATTCAGCCACAAAGACCTGACAATGAGAGTTGGCCTACAGTCGATAACACCGAGGATGCTGAAAAATACAGTACAGATGGCTATAAATAGTTACCAGAAGAGCCCCGCCCCTTACTAATTAAAGCAGAACTTCGGCGGGCAGGCGTTGGTATTTTGAAAATCCCTCCCGGCACTTATGCTGGGCAGTCAAGTTGGAGACTCTGTGGCTAAGCGGTTTGGGCTAACATTCAAGTGTCAAGGGCTTTATTGATTTCATTAGAAGAATATGCCACAGGCTACATAGGACCAGCCTCTCCAATGAAATTGCTTCACTATGCAAACTAAGGAAGGCTTTTTCTGCCTTTGATTGTGGTCGACCCCAAGATAGCCTGTTTTTCACTGTTCTGTACTAGGCATTCATAACTGAACGTTACTGACTTCAGGTTATCAGTGTAACTTTGTAATAATATATGTAACATTCAACATTGATTTCCACTCCGAATTTGAGCAGTATATGATAGCTCTTTGTCTTGCCCAGAATCCTGTGCTCTAAAATTATTGAAACAAATTAGAATTTTTTTCAAAGAATATGTTTACCCAAAGTTTTTGATTTAAATTTGTGATAAGTTGGATTTTATTTTTGGAAACTGAAGTTAAAAGCTGTAGGGTTGTGATAACAATGTGATTTTGGTGTTTTTTACTTATACATAATGAAAAGGAGATATTGAGAAGCGAATAAGATTGTGATGCTATAGGGATACCGTAATATTGGGCCAGCTAAATGGCTTAGGAGGTAAAGCACACGAGCTGAGTAAGCCTTACGGCCCCCGGCCCGTTCCTGGAGCCACATAAAAACCCAGGGACTGTGGTTCCCATATCATTTTTACATAATGGTAGCATTCTAACGGAAACATAGGTGTGCCAAATGAAAACGGTAAGGGAAATTTAGGCTATATTTAATTGATATTTCTGTTTGCAGCTTAACTTGCAATAAAAAGGGAAATTTTAATAAAAAGGAAAATGGCATGGTGGTGATTGTCTGCAGTTCCACCTACTCGAGAGGCTGAAGCTGGAGAATTGTGAATTCGAATACAGTTCAGTCTTTGTAATATTATGTGTCAGAATAAGTTAAAAATAGTAGGGTTCCCAACTACTATTGATGGCTCAATAGGTTAAGGACTGCTATGCAAGAGAGTTCAAATCCCCAGAACCCGTGTAAAAGCCAGGTGTGGTGGCGCATGTGTGGTAGTGCATGAGCCGTAGTACATGTGTGGTGGTGCATGAGCCGTAGTACATGTAATCCCTGTTCTCCTATAGGAAGACTGAAGATGGTGATGGAGAACACGGAAACTTGTAAACTAGGAAGCTCACAGGCCTACTAGCCAATTGTGATTGCCTGCATGTATGTTGGTATGAGGGCACTGGATTCCCTGAAACTGGAGTTACAGACAGCTGTGAGCTGCCCTGTGTGTGCTGGGATTGAACCTAGGTCATCTAGAGGAGAAGTCAGTGCTCTTAACGGCTGAGCCATCTCTCCAGCCCCCTCCCTTCCCCAACTAGCCAATTGTATGAAGCAGTGGCCAGAGATTGTCTCAAACAAGGTAGTAGGTAAGTATTGACACTAATGTTGACCTTTGACCTCCACATGAGCAATATGGCATGTGCGCCCCAAGGATAAACACACACACACATACATGCACACACACACACACACATGCACACACACGTTATAGTCATCTTGCTGTAGAGAACGACCTGGCAGCCACGGTGTGCCTGTGGAGGTCAGAAGACAGACAACCCAGGGGACTGTCTCAGGGATCAAACTCAGATTGTCTGTCAGGATTGAAAACAAGAACCTTAACCATCTCTCTAGCCCCATAAATACTGTCCTCTGGCAAACTATTTGGAGTTGGGGCTCTGCAATGCACAATGGAACCCAAGCAACTTCTTCCTGGTTTGAAGGAAAGGTCTCAGAGAAAAAGTTCCTCTGTCCTCTTTCTCATCTTCTACTGCATGCCCTCCTGCTGCCTCTGACCTCGAACTGCCTCTACTGTAGCCATAAAAAGTCCTCTCCTAACAGACTCCCCAGTCAGGTGCAACCGAACTTTCAGGGGCTATATGAGAAATTCTGTCTCTAATCAAGTTCTTTCTTACAATTCTCCTACTGTGTCCAAAGAGGAGAAACCACCACAATACCTTGCTCCCCACCTAGTGTTCCCACACTCAACCCTTTCAAATGCCGAGTCACAGCTGGGACATCCTGGAAACCACATGTCTCTCTATTTGTTAACACTGTGTAAAGAAAAACACATTTGTTCTTTGTGAAGCTTTCACTTATTGATCTTAATTTTACATAGTATCCTCTACTTATTTCTTTCTGTCATTACTAACACTTTCTTTCCTTTTTGTCAGTTTTTAGGAGTGTGTGTGTGTGTGTGTGTGTGTGTGTGTGTGTGATAGAGTTCTGCCATCAAGCTACAGTATTTGACTCGCATTTCTCATATGCTTTTCATTCTGTTTCGTTTCGTTAAGACAAGGTCTCACTGCATACCCTGGCTGACCTGGGGAACCATATGTAGACCAGGCTGGCCTCAAACTCACAGAGATCTAGTTGATGCTGGCCCCCAAATGTTGGGATTAAAGACAGTGCTTCTAACTCATTTTCAAAATACTGGCTTTTGTTCTAGTTTTTAACTGCGCCAGAATGTCACTGAAATATGAAATCAGGGCGACATCTAGTGGTGCCTCTGGGTCACTAATCATTAAAGTCATAGACGTTTGGAAAGATTATTTAGACTTAGTCTCTGAACAATCTAAAACAAGAACCACCTTACTTGAAAGTTGATATATTTCTCAGAGATGAATATCTCAATATTTCATAGGCAAAAGAGGCACTTCTTCATGCCTCTTTAAGATGATAACTTTGGAGCTGACATCTCTTTGTTCCGAATGCCAGAGAGTGCTTTACATGTTGCCCTAAAAGAGGTCACTTGGAAGAGGTGTGAAGGTATGTCAGTTAGTTTATGCCAACAGGATCTCAATGCTAGAACTTTCCCTGAAGTACAGAACTTTATAGAATGTTATGTTGAATACTTCCTCATAACTGGGGTGCAGCGAGAATGAGGAAGGGGAAGTTGAGGAGGCAATGCACAGCATCTGCTTCATGAGCTACAGCCACGCCTGTCACAAAACAATACAGCACAGTCAATCCAAACCTTTTGGAAATGATCAAAGGTGATTGTAAGTGAGACAACAATTTTATAGGTGTACACATCTGCACAACTCATAGATGGGTACACTGCAAGCGGATGCAGTTTATTCGAAGGAAAGTTTGCCCTGATAATGTTAACTCTCTTAAAAAAAAGTCAGCCGAGCATAATAGAGCCCACCTGCTACCCCAACATTCAGTCAGAAGAAGCAGGAGTATTGCCAAGGCCAGCTGGGTTGCATATGGCATTCCAGAGCAGTCAGGGCTATGCAGGGAGACTCTGGTCTCAACAAACAAGCAAACAGACAGGCAAACACATATACTTCCTATTCAAGCATTTCAAGAATTCTAGGAACAAATGAGTAACTAAAATGCAATATATACACATGATGAAATGCTATTTAGTCTTAAAAAACAGAATGAAATTCTCAGGTATGGTGGTGCATACCTGTAATTCTAGCACTTGGGAAAGTGGAGGTTGGAGAATCAGGAATTCAAGGTCTTCCTTGACCCCATATTGAGTTTGATGTCAGCCTGGGCTACACAAGACAACATCTCAAAACAAAACAAAATGAAAGAGGAATGAAGTGTGTGTGTGTATGTGTGTGTGTGTGTAGAAATAAACCTTTAAAATACATTAAGTAAGCCGGACACATAAAAGCAAACACTGGGAGCTGGGGAGTTGGCTCACTGGTTAAGAATACTTACTGCTTTTCCAGAGGACCCAGGTTCAGGTCCCAGCACTCATATGGTGACTCACAATCATCTGTAACTCCAGTTTCAGGAGATTCAATGCCTTTTTCTGGCCCCCAAGGGCACCCGGCACACATGCAGTACACACACACACACACACACACACACACACACACACGTAGGAAAAACACTCATACAAATAAAATAAATAAACCTCCAAAACCACTATGCATTTATACATATGTGCAATGCCTACAGTAGATAAGGTCATATACACAGAAAATAGAATGATGGTTGCTGGGGTCAGAGGAAGAGGGATGAGAAATTAGTGTTTAATAAGCACCGAGTTTCAGTTGGGGAAGATAAACAAAGCTTTGGAGATGAAGAGTGATGATGGTTGCGTGCAACAGTATGTTTAAAAAGAAAAACAAGAATAAAAAGCAAAAAAGAACTTGTACTTAGAATTGCCTAAAACGGGGCCATGGGGCGGGTGAGATGGCTCAATGGTAAGTGTTCCTGTAGCCAAGCTTGAGGGAGGAATTGGCTTCAATCCCAGGGACACTCCCGGTAGAAGGCAAGGACCAACTCCTGCAAGGTGTCTTCTGACCTCGACGCATGCTCCACACAAGCATAAAGAAATGGCAATTCTAAAACGGTTAAAATGATTGTCTTATGTATAGTTTAACACATCACAGTTGTTTAGAACACACACACACACACACACACACACAGTCCAGTATTTTCCTATCATGCATGAGGTCTAGAATTTGATTCATAGCACTACAGAGGAAAAAAAGTTAAACACACAGAAGCAGGGCTCTCGAGACGGCTCGGTGGTTAGGAGCACTTGCTGCTCTTGCAGAGGACTGGGACTTGATTCCCAGCACTCACATGACAGCTCACATCTGCTGTGACTCCAGCCCCAAGCGATTCTGCAGCCTCTTTTGGCCTCCGCGGGCACTGCACAGATATGATGCACATGTAGGCCAAAACCCATACACATAAAATTAAAAAAACTGAAAGCCAAAAAAGAAGTACAAAGTACTTCATCATGTAACCATGGCACCTGTCAATGTTTGCACAATGAATGAAGGACTCCCTAAGGAACCCTGGACCCTTCCTTCATCTTTACACACTTTGTTTTAAAAAGGAAGAAACTATTTTCTTTTATTCGGGGCTTTAAAAAATACCATAAAGTGGGACTGGAAGTTGACTCAGTAAATTGACAGCCATGTGAGCACAAGGATCGGAGTTCGGATCCCCAGCACCACGTTTTTAAAAGCTGGGAAGGCAGAGACAGAAAGCTCCCTGTGTCTTACTGGTGGGTCGGTCTAGCCAACTGGTGAACTCCGGACTCAGTAGGAGACCCTATCTCATAAACTAAGGTGGGGCCTGCAAGATGGTTCAGATGGTGAGGGGCTTGCCTGGCAAGCTTGATGACCTGAGTTTGATTTCCAGAACCAATGTAAAAAGCAAGGAGGGCACAAATCTCCAGTTGTCCTCTGACCTCCCCATGTGTGCTATAGCACTGAGCACCCCCCTTTCAGGTCACACACACACATGCACACATATGTATATATAAAACAAAGAAGTAAGTATAAATATTTAAAAACTACAGGAGAGTAATTGAGGAAGACATCCCAAACTGACCTCTGGACTCCACTTGTACCCTCATTATATTAGTTAGGGTTCTCTAGAGCAGTGGTTCTCACCCTGTGGGTAGCAATCAATTTGGGGGTCAACTGACCCTTTCACAGGGGTCACCTAAGACTATCAGAAAACACTGATATTTGCATTATGATTCATAACAGTAGCAAAATTACAGTTATGAAGTAGCAATGAAAGTAATTTTATGGTTGGGGTCACCATGACACGAGGAACTGTCTTAAAGGGTTGCAGCACTAGGAAGGTTGAGAACCACTGCTCTGAGGAGCAGAGCCCACAGGGTATATATGTAGTTGAGAGAAGCTATATTAGATTGGCCTTCACAATAAGGTCTGCATCACGCCAGAGAGCTGAGAACCCAGCAGCTATTCAGTGCACAAGGCTGGGCATCTTAGCAATTCCAGTTTGGCACAGGAGGTCTGGGAGCCCCTGGTCTTCAGTCCACACGGGAAGGCTGAAGAAACTGGGTTCTGGTGGCAGCAAAGGATGATGGTAGCAACAACAAACTTACCTGCAGAAAAGTTTTCCCTCCCACTTTTATCTGGGTTGGAGCCCACATTTAAGTGAGTCTTCCCGCTTCAAATAACCTGATCAAGACTTGAAAAAAGGAAGAAACTTTATTTGGGGTACAAATAAAAATGAGACACCAATAAAAATCACGTACTAGCAATTAAAATATTTATATGCTGTAAGAACACACTTATATTTTGATAGAAATAAAAACATTGAAAAGAAACTAACTGGAAATTGTATTTGGTCTAGTCACAGAGCCTAGAAATATTTATGGTTTAGTTTCCTGCTTATGTGGGTTGGAGAGATGGCTCAGCGCTTAAGAGCACTGCCTGCTCTTCCAAAGATCCTAAGTTCAATTCCCAGCAACCACATGGTGGCTCACACCCATCTGTAATGAGATCTGGTGCCCTCTTGAGGAAGAGACCTGGTCAGTCATCCTCATCAATTTAGACCATGAAACCCAATTTGGACAAATTCAATAGAACTGTCATATATGGGCTGGCTGCCCATGCACGCATGCTTCAGCATTGCAGGGCATACATTTCTTTCTTTCTTTTTTTCCTGTTTAGGTAGTTGGTATTTTAATCCTATGTGTCTCTGAGGCAGTAAACGGGAAAACTGAAGGTATAATAATATAAAAAAAAGTCTTTAATGGTGATTCCTAAAGTGTTAGACTCTGCAACAGCACTACACGAAGTAGTGCGTCTATTGATATGCATAGTCAATTTATACATTTTGTTGTAGTCTGCTTAACGTTGGCAGTTAACAGATCAACATCACAAAGCGAGAGTTGACCAATGCACGCCCGTTATAGCAGAAGCTAAAACAGAAGGATCCCAAGTTTGTGACCAGTCTCTGTCTTCAAAACACCCACAAAACCCCCTCCAGGTTGTTCTCTCACGGGCTCCCGCCTCTCTAGAACCCTCCATTGGAATGCTAATTCCAGCAGCACGCAGGAGTCGAGTGTGCAATCTCAAGCTGATAAATTCCATGCTAAGAATTAACGACAGAGTAACCGAAGCACGGCGGAGGAAACAGCTCTCCGGAGGCAGAAGGGTCAGCTACCCTGAGAACACGTCTAAACCTGGAGGAACATTCCGGAAGGAGGCACAGCATAAAAGTACAGGCTAAGCACAGGAGGGCTGCAAAATGTGAGTTACTCTGTTAGTTTGAACAGAGCGGGGGAGCGAACAGGCTGCAAGGGGGAGTGCCGGTATCAGCCTGCCCCTTCCTCGGCGCGCAGGTCACGGGGAGGATTTGTGCCAACTGCTATCTGGGAGGATCTTTCTGGCGGACTCAGTGAGAGAGACAAGAGTGAGGCGAGGAGCCTGGTTGCAGGGCAGCAGGAAAAGTGAAGAAAAGAGGCCTGCCTGGCCTGCCAGGTTGCCTCGGCGACAGCATGGGGGCGGGAGAGCGCAGGATGTCCGAGGGCGTGATCTCGCATACCACCCCGCCCCTCTCTCGTGCCCCATCCTTCCCGCCCTTCTCCTTCTGCCCCGCCCTCCTCTTCACGCTCCGCCCCCTCGTACTTCATCCTCCCCGCCCCTCCTCTTCATGCTCCGCCCCCCATACTTCGTCCTCCCCGCCCCTCCACTTCCTGCTCCTTTTCCCTCGCCCCGCCCTCTTCTTCACGCCCCGCCCTCCTCCTCGCGCCCCTGCCCCTTCTCTCGGTGGCTTCCCCCGCCACCAACCGTCAGACCCCCTCGCGCAGCTGGCGTCGGCGGAAGCGAGCGTCGCGAGGCCGCGCCGTGGTGGGTCGGGCGCCGCAGAGGGGCAGCTGCGCGGGCCG